TTTATAATATATTTATTAAAATATTATTATTTTTAAATTTAAATTCAATATGAAAAAATTTTCAATAGTAGATTTTAATAATTGAACCGATAAGTATTAATACTTGAACCGAAAGGTATATCAATAATTATTATTAAATGATAATAATTTAAGATATCTTCTCACTCTTAAAAGAACTACTCTATCTATTTCTTGTACAAAAACAAAGCAGGATGTTTCACTTAAAAATCTCTCTTTTCATAGTCCAGTATTCTTTTATGGCTGTAATTTAACATCTTTGCGTCCGGTGATTAGCTAGCCTCGACGCATGAGATTTCGATTAAAAGGATTTTTTAAGGTAATCAACATCGGTAAATAATCTAATCACCAAAGTGGTACTCAATGCTAAGTTTCTCCAACCACCTATTATGTCCCGACCTATGCCACATTGAAACTCACATGAACGAAAATAAAGAAATAATATCCAATAGATTAAACAAGTTCATTACACATAGCACAATATGTTAAGGACAGGTACAACACAATGGCAAAAGGAAACTTTATTTCTTGAAACCCTAACTTTAGTTCACCAGTGAGGTCTCCCATGAATCTTCTACTCTTTGTTGGATAGATAATTTGACACTATCCTGCACTTTGTTCGATCAGAAGAATCCAATGCTTCCTTTCTTTGTTTAATGGAAGCCACTTCCTTTATGTATTTCCCCCTTAATCGGCCCTAAACTAACCCTAAACCCTAATTAAGAAATATCTTTCTTTATTCCAAATGATGGCATCGATAGCTGGCATTTTATCGCGTGAAATAAATAGTCTAGTTCAACAATTAATGGGCCATGTTAGCAAAAATAGTCCACATCATCATTAAATTATATAATGTCACTAAATCAAGTTCTACACACGCTAGGTCAGTAGTGGTTTAGTGCTAAAGAGTTGGGTTTCACAATAAGTTGATGTTTCATAACATCATTTGTTAAATTTGGGTTAATTCATTTTAATAGAAAAGTTTGTAAGTTGATTTATTTCAACATAAAAGTAGATGAGTTGAAATATTTAAAATAAAGTAAAATGGTTGATTTAAAGTATATTTAGAAGTACAAGTTTATATACCCTTTTTCCTTGGACATATTTAGATAAAAATTTAGATAAAAGCTACCCTCTATCTTAAGATAATTGCTATGTTTTAATTTTTTAAAATTAAAAATTTTAAAATAATGTTTATATTTATTTATAATACT